TCATGCTACATTTTGAGATCATTGTAAGCAGGATTGGATGATGAATGAATGATGGATTGGATTCAATAGATGAACAAAATCAATTTTAAACATAAAAAGTTTATTAAACTCACATATTACTTACAGTTTTCTTCTTCTGTACTGGCCATATCCTGCTTGAGAATTACAAACCAACCTTTTTGCAGGATACAAAATGGATGACATCCATAATGAAAATGACTAGCAATATCTTATACATTTTAACTACTTGTTTTTTGTTTATTTGAATTAAACACTATTTTTAAATTTGACGCATACAGTATATTTAGTGTAACATAGTCGTACATTAGAAGAAAGTTGATTAAAGATTATAAAATATTTTTTGAATAACTTTAAATAAAAATTGCTATTTAAGTATAAGTAAATTTTTACAAAGCAAGAACTTGCTTCTACAGCTTTGTTGTTAAAATGTTTGCATTACTTTTAAAGGATTAAAAAATCCTTTCAAATCAAATGAAATATCTCAGTTTTGCTGAAAACAAAGTGTGATATTTATAGCAAAGCAAAGATAATTTATTTACTTTATTAATATAAAATGTCAGACAATGGTTCAGAAAAAAAAAAAAGTGCAGAAAAAGAAAAGCTGATAAATGTTTCATAATTTGTTAAAATTCTAAAAAATATTGAATTAAAAATAAATATTAAATTTTAACTATAAAAAATCAGAAATCAATATTTTTTATAGTTAAAATTTAATATTTATTTTTAATTCAATATTTTTTAGAATTTTAACAAATTATGAAACATTTATCAGCTTTTCTTTTTCTGCACTTTTTAAGCATGATCAAAAATAGATTCTTCAACTATTTTGCACCACTCATGTGAGGTGTTTTTTCCCCACATTAAATATATATTTAAAAAACGTTTTTTAACTTTTCTGTTTTTCAATTGCAATTCTATGTGTAATATAGCGTTTGCTCTCTGTAATGTCATAACCTTGCAACCTTGGGTCAATCGCAGAAAAGCATTTTAATAAATTTTTGGTAAAAAGAAAAATATTAAGTAATTACATTGTTACACAAGTTACATTATTGGCAGTTTAGGATGTTGAATGCTGGATCTTGTTGAGTTATTGCATGGGTTTTGCTTGTTTTTATGACTAGGCAACTCATTCTAATTATCTTCTAATGAGGGTACAACTCTAAAACTTAGTTTTATGGTATAGTACTATGTGATAGCTCTCAGAGAATCATTCCATCAACAGCTGTAAAGTATTAGAGTATTAATAGTGTAATGTTGCACATGGATGGTGTCCCTAACTGTACTTTTAGTGTGTATTTTTGAGGCCACATTTCAAGCCATTTGTTACAACTGTTACAGCTTAAGATATATTAATAGAGGCAACTGCTTGAACTATTATTTTTTTTGATTTTCAATATTTTTTAAAAATTTAATTGTAAATTGACTATATATATGTGGACTATATATATATATTTTTCAACGATTTTCATGTGACTGTGTATTATCTATAATTGTTGAATGTGTTGATTTTAATTAGTTTTATTCTTGTTAAAACTATTGTAACCATCAACAACAACAACAAAAATTTAAATTAAAAATATTAAATAGTGTTCTCAAAAGTTTTCTAAATATATCATTCACTAATAATCATGGTTTTTGAAATAATTTTTCTTCTGTTGAGTCTCATCTCTTGCAACATTTACCAGACCTACTTGCTCTTTGTGAGACTAATTTGAGTTCAGCTGTCTTATCTTGTGATTTTAATGTTGATGGTTATCTTCCTTTGATTAGTAAAGCCTCTAATAGTCAAATGCTTGGCTTGGGCATTTATGTTTGTAAGAATTTATCTATTTGTCAGGAAACTAGGTTTGAATACACAGACTATTTCTTTATTTCTTTCGTTTAACATCACTTCACTATCACCTTTCTCTTTGTTCTACATCGCTTTCCTTTATCTCAAGACTGCACTCTTTTTGATGTTATTTCTGATCAAATTGACCAAGCCCTTTCTCTTTATCCTTTAGCCAATATCTTTGTTGTTAGTGACTTTAATGCTCATCACACTGAATGACATGGCTCTAGTGTCAGTTACTCTGCAGGTGTTAAGGCCCATAACTTTTGCCTTTCTCAATCTTTAACACAAATAATCAACTTTCCAAATCGCTTTTCACACAATCCGAATCATTTACCTTCTCTACTCGACTAATATCTTGTTTCTGATCAGTTTCTCCACATTTACCCTAAGGTGCTTCTAGTCATAGTTTGATATCTCTAAAACTTTCTAAATCTCATTTTCCTTCATCATCAGAATCCCCTTACTATTGTACCTCCTACAACAACCTTTAAGTTGACTGGAAATTATTTTCATAATTTTCTTTTTGAGTAGAAATTTTTTGTCCTCCTGCTGACAAATGTGGTTTTTATGTAACATGTTGGATTCAGGCTGGTATGGAAACTTTTATTTCTTCTCAAAAATTCTAAGTCAAGCCTCACTCTTCTTCATGGTTTCCTCTTATTGCGCTGCTGCAATTAACTTACTTTCATATCTATCATCAAAACAATTCTCCAGAAGACAGACATCTATTATTATTAACTATTGTTAGAAACCATTGTAAAAAGGTTTTGTCTAATGCCAAAGCATGCTATTCTCAGGTTACAATATCTCATACTTTATCTAAAAAATTAGGCTCCAGAGCTTTCTGGAAAACCTTTAACAGTATAATAAGGGCAAATCTGTTATCCCACCTCTCTTGTATGGCTCAGATTTTGTTACCTCACTCTTTCATCAACCTTGATTCCACTAATCACATCCTACCTGATATAGCTGACAAGCAGGTTGATCCATTGCTTGACATTCATATTACTCCAGCTTGTATATCTAAAGTGATTTCTTGCTTAGACTCTTCTACAACTTTTCAATTTTCCAGCTTGCTGGAATGAGGCACCTGTTATCATTTTTTTTTTAATAATTTTTTTTAAATTAACAACTACTGTATTCAACAACTATTGTATTCAACAAGTAGAGTGCTCAATATTCTTAAAGGACAGAGCAATAATAAATTAGTAAAAATAAATTATTCGGTTTTTTTAAAGATATTTTATAATTCTATGATCTATTATAACCAACACTAACATAACTATTATATTATTAACTAAATTATTTATTAACTATTATTGCTAACTAAATTATTATTAATTATTATAACCAACAATAACAGCTATCAGAGTAGATTTACTAATATTTTGAAATTATTTGGAAATAATTTCAAAATTGGCCAAGTGAATAAAATTGAGCAATTACTTTTACTCTGAGTTTTTGGAGTAATTTCTGCAATTATGTGAATACAAATTTTTAGCAACTGCTCTTTTTGCGCATGAAAGCTTTTACTTATGAGCAATTGCTCTTAGAAGAGAAAAAGGTATGAATTAAAAAGCTTTAACTCATAAAACAGCGAGCAATTGCTTCAAATTTTACGAGCACTTTAAAGTAAAATAATAAAATAAATTGAACATTTATTTTATTATTTTACTACTTTATTTTACTATTTTTTGAATATATATATATATATATATATATATATATATATATATATATATATATATATATATATATATATATATATATACATACATTTGTGACGACTCATTCAAAACTTGCTTCTTAGGTGTTACGATTTTGTGACAAGGGGGGGGGGTTCGAAAACGGTCAAAAATTGTGTGACGTAATTTATGGACAACCTCTAAACAAAAAACAAAAAAAACTTAACAGATATGAAATTTAAAAAAAAAAAAAAAAAAACTATTGGGCCAGGTTTTTTTATAAAAAACCTGGGTTTTTGCCAACCCTGATATGTATATATATATATATATATATATATATATATATATATATATATATATATATATATATATATATATATATGATATATATATATATATATATATATATATATATATATATATATATATATATATATATATATATATATATATATATATATATATATATATATATATATATATATATATATATATATATATATATATATATATATATATATATATATATATATATATATATAGTCTACTTATGGGAAAAACTTTCCGACTTCCAAGTCAGAAAGTTTTTCCCATTTAAAGAGAGCGTTAATAAACGAGACCAGAAAAAGTTTAAAATCTTAAATAATTTTTTTTTCTTAAATGATAAACTGTCCGAACCAAACCCTCAGTCGATGTAGCAGTACTCCCTTGCGAGTCAGGTTATTTGTCAATTGATGTAGCAGCACTCCCTTGCAAGTCAGGCTATTTGTCAATCGATGTAGCAGCATTTCGTTGCGAGTCAGGCTATAAGATAGTCGATGTAGTAACACTCCCATGTAGCAGCAGGCTATAAGATAGTTGATGTAGCAACACTCCGCGCATGTTAAAAATATATTTTAATAAAACAAAAACAAAAATTCCATTAATTAAAAAAAACTTTCCAGTCATTATAATTGCGGTGTTTTTAAAAAACAATAAAATTTAATGTACTTCTGCATTAATTTAGTTGCTTTGACATTTCAACAATTATAAAATGTAGCTTAATTGTCGAAGTAGCAAAATTATAGTCGAAAGATTTTTTACATCAAAAGGATATATATATTTAAGGATATATATATATACATATATATATATATACATATATATATACAATCGGATTTTGGAATTAATACAACACTATAAGTTATAAAATGAAATATTATTCAATTACTTTAATTTCAATTATTACGTCTTTATTTGAAATATTTCTTTGGTTATTTAGTAGATTATAACAATAAAAAGTTAAAACAATTGTAAATTTTCAACATTATTTCCAACTATTTAACATAAAATACTACATTAATAAAAAGCTCTTGGAAAAAGAATTATTCAAAAAAAAAAAAATTGTTTGTTTTTAACAGCATCTACTTAAACGAAATCAAAGTATTTTGAAAAATGAAGAATATAATAATAAACTTTACATGTTATTTAGAAGCTTCTTCAGTATATTCACTGAATTTTTTAGATCTTGCAAACTAGTTATAGAATTTTGTTCTGTTGCACAATTTATCTAAACCAAAAAAAAGACATTCAAATTTTACTGAGACTTTATCAATTTTAAGTATACAACATAATTATAGAATTATATATATAATATATAATATATATATATATATATATATATATATATATATATATATATATATTTATATATATATATACATACATATATATATATATATATACATATATATATATATACATATATATATATATATATATATATATATATATATATATATATATATATATATATATATATATATATATATATATTACCAAAACTTCTTTTCAGCACAAAATGTGATTTTTCTTTTAAAAATAAGACAATTTTTTTTAATTTTATTAAAAATCATTTTATTTATCAAGACATGTTTCGACTATATATAGTCATCATCAGTTAAAATATATTTGTTAAAAATGGTATAAAATATAGTATATAATTGTAAAAATAAACATAATAAAAGCCATAAAAATGTAAACAAACTTCCTATATATACAAAAAGATTTATTAAAAACCATTTTAACAAATGTTAAATATAACAAAAGAAACCGGTAAATCGTATTAAATAAAAGAGTCATTTTAACATGTTTTACTTGTTTATTCATATCTGGTGTTTCACATCCTATATGAATGCATTCTTTAATTTTTAATTCAATTTTATTTTTAGCACGATCCAAAATCGAAAAGATTCATCATTATAATTTTTAAAACATTTTTTTTTTTTGAGTGAAGATGCTTATAATTAAGAGGTTTTTATCCCTTCTGTAGTGTTCAATCACTCACATCTTTAGGGGGCAAGAGGTTTTGCCAATATAACAGCATTTACATCCTGCACAAACAAATTTGTAGACAATGAATGATTTAAAATCTACAGGAAGGTGATCTTTAGATGAAAAAAAATTAGACACTATTAACAAAGCGAATACTAATTTTACGGTAACCGACTTACAATGTCTCGTTATATTTGACATTTGTTAAAATAATTGTTAATAAATCTTTTTGTATATATAAGAAGTTCGTTTACAACTTTATGGCTTTTAATATGTTTATTTTTACAATTATATACTATATTTTATACCATTTTTAACAAATATATTTTAACTGATGATGACTATATATAGTCAAAACATTTCTTGATAAATAAAATGATTTTAAATAAAATTAAAAAATTTGTCTTATTTTTAAAAGTAATATATATATATATATATATATATATATATATATATATATATATATATATATATATATATATATATATATATATATATATATATACACATAAGGGGCTATTCTAGACCATTTTCGACAGCATTAAATATATTTGGGCACCAATTTGGGCGCCGCCCAAATTAAAAAATGAGGACCTTTTTTTTACGTTCTTTATAGCAAATATCTTTTTTACCGCCGCCCATCTTTTTTTCCGAGAATAGCCCCTGTATACATATCTTGAACGTCATAATAGCATAAAATAAGTAAATATTTTTTAAAATAGCATGTTTAAAATAGATGTTTTTTATTCTTGACATGTTTTGTAAAATTTATTTACAATTTCAAAAGATTATTTTACAATAAAAAAAAACTCATAAAATAAATATTAAAATAAAGAAGGCTTTACAGAGAAATATTAATGGACAAAAATTATACTTTAATTATATTTAAATCATGTATAATTTTTCTCCGTAAATTTCTCTGTAAATTTCTCCGTAAATTCTCTGTAAATTTCTCCGTAAATTTCTCTGTAAAGTCTTCTATTTTTTAATATTTATTTCAGAATTTTTTTATTGTAAAATAATCTTTTGAAAATGTAAATACATTTTACGAAACATGTCAAAAATAAAAAACATTGTTAATTTTAAAAATAATTATATGTATATATATTATTATATATATATATATATATATATATATATATATATATATATATATATATATATATATATATATACATATATAGATATATATAAGTTCAAAGTTCTATTCCAACCTTGTCCCTGGTAGTAATGCGCTCAACTTTTTTCTCTGCGCAACAGCCTTGCTTATAGAGGTTTGTTTTTTGGAGTAATAGAGTTGAGAGAGGGTTGTAATCACAAATAGTAGCCTCCTCAACTGTAGTTGCCTTCTCGGCCTTGGGGAGGTGAATAATTAAACACATATACATACATATATATATACATATATACATATATATTTATATATATATATATATATATATATATATATATATATATATATATATATATATATATATATATATATATATATACATGTCAATCGTTATCTTGCTCTAGAATCTCTATCTTTTCTCTTCTAGTAACTTCCAACACTAATTAGTGGTTGCTTGCAGCCTTGTTGGAAGCGAAGATAAAAAAAGTTAAAAAAAAAATTTATACATATACATATATATATATATATATATATATATATACATATATATATATATATATATATATATATATATATATATGTTTATTTTTATGTTTATATATATATATATATATATATATATATATATATATATATATATATATATATATATATATATATATATATATATATATATATATATATATATATATATATATATATATATATATATATATATATATATATATATATATACATGTCAATCGTTATCTTGCTCTAGAATCTTTATCTTTTCTCTTCTAGTAACTTCCAACACTAATTAGTGGTTGCTTGCAGCCTTGTTGGAAGCGAAGATAAAAAAAGTTAAAAAAAAATTTATACATATACATATATATATATATATATATATATATATATATATATATATATATATATATATATATATATATATATATATATATATGTTTATTTTTATGTTTATATATATATATATATATATATATATATATATATATATATATATATATATATACATGTCAATCGTTATCTTGCTCTAGAATCTTTATCTTTTCTCTTCTAGTAACTTCCAACACTAATTAGTGGTTGCTTGCAGCCTTGTTGGAAGCGAAGATAAAAAAAGTTAAAAAAAAATTTATACATATACATATATATATATATATATATATATATATATATATATGTTTATTTTTATGTTTATATATATATATATATATATATATATATATATATATATATATATATATATATATATATATAATATATATATATATATATATATATATATATATATATATATATATATATATATACATGTCAATCGTTATCTTGCTCTAGAATCTTTATCTTTTCTCTTCTAGTAACTTCCAACACTAATTAGTGGTTGCTTGCAGCCTTGTTGGAAGCAAAGATAAAAAAAGTTAAAAAAAAATTTATACATATACATATATATATATATATATATATATATATATATATATATATATATATATATATGTATATGTTTATGTTTATATATATATATATATATATATATATATATATATATATATATATATATATATATATATATATATATATATATATATATATATATACATATATACAGCGTGGAAAATAACGGCCGGTCAACGGTCAATGACCGCCTGAAATGACTAAAAATGCTATTTTGACCTCCCAAAATGAACTCTTGCCGGTCATCGTTGACCGGTTGAAAAAAAATCAGAGATTTAAAAGCAAGGTTTGACAAATAATTAGGATAATTAGGATTTGGAAAATGCGTATACTAAAGTTTTATGAAATTATTTAAATTTTGAAAAAGGTTTAACACAGTTTTCTTGTTTATGATACACTACTTTAATTGTGGGTCGTTAAGGCAAAAAGAAGGTAAAGCAAATTTTTTTTTTACTTTTTATTTTTCAATGCCTGGTTTTTATCTTTGTTTAAAAAACTTTCCAATAAATTTATTTTTTATCAATATAATCAAGACTGGCTCGATGGGGGTGTGTGACACCTCTTCCATCAATGATTTTTTTGTTCATTTAGTTGGCAAATTTGACCCTTTTTGACTAGGTAGTTGGCAAATGTAGACCCTCTAGACAAGTTAGTTGGTAAATTTAGACAGTCAGTCGGCAAATGTCGTTATGGCAGTCAGCAAATTTTGAAACATGAGGATTTTTTTTTTTAAGTCAGCAAAAGTTGTAATGGTGCTCCCCCCCCCACACACACACACACACATGACACCTACTTGCGCTGGCCCTAAATATAATTCAATATAATTTAAAATTAATAACTTATTAATTTACATATCCATATAATTCAAATAATAAATTTATATAATTGATTCTCCTCCTAATTATATATTCGAGTATATATTAAATTCATTGTTGATAAAACTTTTATCTTTTAATTATTGCATATGAAACCAGTAAGTTAATTTGCTTTAACAATAATTGCTTTAATAACCCTGAAATCATTAATTCGCTTTGTTAAGGAGCGTTTTGCATGTAATGTATATGTAACGCTGTAAACTATAATCATTAAGCTTTTTGCTTCATTTATTTAAATTAATTTTATTTTACCGATAGCAAAAATCTTTTTTCTTAAATGATTGAAGTTCTTATTTTATTATTATTTTAATATAAAAATTTTATTTATTATTTTAAAAAAAAGAAAATGTTCCCTCGAAGGATGTTTAGCGAGTTCTTTGTGGTATTTAAAACAATGCCCTCTTAAAGAATTTTTAACAAGTGGAAAAGATTTTGTTATGTTTGTTTTGTCAATACCATGCATAAGTTTGTATAGTGCTATCAAATCTCCCCTTTTTCTTCTCTCAGTTAAGGTTGTGAAGCCTAAAGCAATAAGTCGATCTTCATATTTGAGATTGCTAATTGATGAAACAATTTTAGTTGCTCTGTGTTGTATTTTCTCAAACGCATTACAATCTCCTTTCATATAAGGAGACCAAACTGGAATTGCAAATTCAAGAAGTGGACAAATGAATGTTAAATAAAGAGATTTCATAAGTTGACAATCGAAGCTTGCAAACGATTTCTTTACTCGCCCCAGCATTTGATTTGCTTTTCCAATTGCCATAATTACTTGATCTTTCCATTTAAGATTTG